GGGCACTTTCTCAGTGTGATTTTCTCGTTCTGTTTACAGAGAAGACACAGAGTCGAGCGGCCAAATGTAAGAACCACCTTCCCACCTGCGCCTGCGGTCCAGCTGTTCCTTTGACCCTTGGTGGTCTCTGTCAGTGATTGCAAGGGCTGCTGGGAAGGGAAGCTGGGTTGTGCCCAGGGTCAGAAGCGCTAAGGTATTTGTTTCTACTGGGCTAGAGAAGGGCTGCATTTGTCAGACTGTAATATGCCAGCATTCACGTGGAGCTAGATAGGGAGAATGGGTGCAGCTTAGAAATCTGGAAGAGAGCTGGGTAGTGGTGACGCACGCCTTTAGTCTCAGCACTTGGGAGGCAGAGAGTTCAAGGCCAGGCTGGTCTACAAAGAGAGTTCCATGACTGCCAGGACTGTTTCACCGAGAAAACCTGTCTCAAAACAAAACAAAAAGAAAATCTGGAAGAGGGGAGGCGGGGTCTGGCTGACTGGAACTCATGCCCTACTCAGCCTCTCGTCCTGGGTTTGACTGGAGGGACCCACTGGTACTGGAGGAGCAGCTGACTGCTGATGAGAAACTCATCAGGGACACCTTCCGCAACTACTGCCAGGAGAAGCTTATGCCTCGAATTCTGCTGGCCAATCGAAATGAAGGTGCCCTTGTGGAGGGTGGGCACCCTGGGCTCAACCACACGGGATTTACACCTGCTGCAGCGCACACACACCAGCTCTGTCCCTGGAGTTAGGGACTCCAAGCTGAGACAGGACCTGACTCTGGCACCCATCTCTGCAGTTTTTCACCGGGACATCGTGTATGAGATGGGGGAGCTGGGAGTGCTGGGACCCACCATCAAAGGTAAGGGCAGTTCTCTGTATACCCTGCAGTCCTTACTCCCAACGTCCTGAAAAGCCACCCCTTTCTATCTGTAAAATGGGCAGTGGAAATTCTCGGCCAGGGCAGCCCCCTCCCTACTCCAGAAGTGTCCCATTACAGCCCTTTACTCAGTCCCTGCTCCCAGCTGGCTGAACTGTGGTGTCTTTGGTTGGTTGGTCTATCTGCTCCTCTTCTACACCAGGGTATGGCTGTGCTGGAGTGTCATCAGTGGCCTATGGGCTCCTAACCCGAGAGCTGGAGAGGGTGGACAGTGGCTACAGGTCAATGATGAGCGTTCAGTCCTCCCTTGTCATGCACCCCATCTACACCTATGGGAGCGAGGAGCAGCGGCAGAAGTATCTGCCCCGGCTGGGTAAGCAGCTGCTGCCTGGTGGAGGGAAGTCAGACTGTGGTCTGGAATGCAGACCCCAGTGTCCTCATAGCCTGCCTTCTTTCCTACATTCCACCTGTGCCCTTGCTAGGCCCTAGGGCTCAGGTGCTAGCCTTGATCCCATGCAATCCCTGACAGCCTTCTCCTCCCCTTTGACTTCACCCCTGGCCACCATCATCTTCCCTCAGATTTGTTTTCTGTGCTCCTCATCCCAGTCCAAAGTTGAAAGTCTTAACTGCTAACCAGATCCATTCGGCCCGTGAGAAGGCCCCTGAGACTTTTCCTCTACTTCTTTGGCCACTCAGATTTTATTTGTAGATAGGTCTCACTCTGTAGCCCTTTTTGGCCTGGAGATTTGTAGAGCAGGCTGGCCTCAAACTCAGAGGTCTACCTTCCTTGATCTCCTGAGGGAGAGTGAAGAGCTAGAATTAAAGGCATGCATGACCATGCTCATCCCTCTGGCCACTCTTTTGACTGCTCAGCTACTAGAGATTCTCCCAATAACCACCTTGGTAATTACTTTCCTCATACCCTCCCCTTCAGGCTGGATGTGGTGGCACACACCTCTAATCCCAGCACTCCAGAGGCAGAGGCAGTTGGATCTGTTAGTTCTAGGCCAGTTAAGGCTACATAGCAAATTCCAGGACAGCAAGGGCTACATAGTGACATAGTGAACCTTCTCAAAAACAATGGAAAACAAACAAACAAACTAAAACCCACAAACCTCATGCCCTCTTTCTTTCAGATAAATCTCTTAGTGCCCTTGAAGACACTCTTGCCAACCCCTTCTTCTGGCCTCCCTCATAATGTGACATTGTGATTATAGCTTGGTCCATTACTCAGTTCAGAGAGTGCAATGATGGCAGGGTGTATATGCCCTGGCTACAGGTTTGTCTCGGTGGTGAAAATAATTTATCAGGAGATGAATGAGGGCTGGTAGGTAGCCTTATGACTCTCTCTTATACTTGCAGCCAAGGGTGAACTTCTGGGCTGCTTTGGGCTTACAGAGCCCAATCATGGGAGTGACCCAGGTGGTATGGAGACCAGAGCTCGCCACAATTCATCAAACCAGAGCTACACTCTCAATGGGACCAAGACCTGGTAAGGGGCCCAGGCAGAGGTGGGTAATGTGTATGAGGGGATAGAAGCCAGATCCCTTCATAACTTTTTGGCTCCCAGGATCACCAACTCACCTGTGGCAGACCTGTTCATAGTGTGGGCTCGGTGTGAGGACAACTGTATTCGGGGCTTTCTGCTGGAGAAGGGAATGCGGGGCCTCTCAGCCCCTAGGATTGAGGGGAAGTTCTCCTTGCGGGCCTCGTCTACTGGTATGATCATCATGGACAATGTGGAAGTGCCTGAGGAGAATGTGCTCCCTAGTGTGTCCAGCCTGGCGGTATGTGATAGACACCTTGGGAACTGGTGGGGGATACCTGTTGGCTCACCTTTTCAAGTGGAGAACAAACATATATGGTTCCTGTGCTTGTGGAGTTGTGATGCTCCCTGTTCATGGATGTGCTAATTGTACCTTTTGGGTACAACTTTGCTCATTGGCTCTGCCCCAGATGCATATGGGCCCTGGACCACTTTCTATTCTTGTATGAGCAGCTTCCTGTTTCCTGCCAGCTTCTTACATCTGAGCACTGAGTTCAGACCCCATGCTGTATAGGACTGTGTGCACATACAGAGCAGAAAGGCACTGAGCAATGCTTGTTGCACCTGAGTTTTGGTGTACACACCCTGTGTGATTTATATGCAGATCCCCTTGTCTGGAACATTTGGAAGATGGATTTTCCTGCTTCCCAGTTGGTTCTTCCCAGGCCTTCAGCTGACTGAGACCTCTCATCAAATCTCATAGGGTCCTTTTGGCTGCCTGAACACTGCTCGATATGGCATCACATGGGGTGTGTTGGGAGCTGCTGAGTTCTGTTTGCACACAGCCCGGCAATATGCTATGGACAGGTGTGTGGAGGGTGTTGGAGTTTACTTTGTACCCCAACAGTGACTTCCCCAGTACCCACCAAGTTTAAGTTCTCTGCTCTATAACATGGCTTGGGACATCTGAGCAGTTAAAATGTTGAGCCAATAGCAGGGTCAGCATGAACTGGGAAGCCTCTTGAATTACAGGCCCTCACTTGATCTTGCCTTTTCTAGGATCCAGTTTGGTGTCCCCTTGGCCAGGAACCAGCTGGTTCAGAAGAAGCTGGCAGACATGCTCACCGAGATAACATTGGGCCTCCACGCTTGTTTGCAGCTTGGTCGGTTAAAGGATCAGGACAAGTAGGGAATCATATATTGTGATTGAATCCTGGGCCCTTTCTGAGGTCCTCCTTGCCAGCTAGTGGCCCCAGAGACACAAACTTCTTTCCTTCTTGGTTTTGATGGGCTAGATCAGGGACAGCCTTGCCAGTTGCATATATGTTCCATCTGTTGGGTGTAGTCAGTGCAAGAGACCCAGTGTTTACTTTATATGTGCTACTCCCAGGGCTACCCCAGAAATGGTCTCCCTGCTGAAGAGAAATAACTGTGGGAAAGCCCTGGACATTGCCCGCCAGGCACGAGACATCCTAGGAGGAAATGGGATTTCTGATGAGTACCATGTGATCCGGCATGCTATGAATCTGGAGGCAGTGAACACTTATGAAGGTCTGGACTGGACCCTGGGCTCGGGGAGGAGGGTGTTACAGTGGTCTTGGGGAGGGAGATAGTAGTAAGGAGCTGGGATAGCACAGTTAAGTCCTCTAGCCATCACCAAATGACAATCAAACCCTACCCTCATCCCTCACCTAGAGTTGTTCACTGAGATTGTGGGAGTAAATATGTAAGGGGGTGACTGCAGGATTTCAGAGGTCCTGATAAGCAGACGGTGTGAGATGCTCCCGGCTCTTGTTCTCATTGTGGGGTGGAATATGGAAGGAGACATAGTGGGTGGGTGTGAGGACGAGAACAGCACACAGTAATTATATTGCTACTTCATGTTCAGAGAAAAAGGTGTTTGTAGACTATGGGAGTCACAGAGCATGTACCCATGCTTAGGACAAACTTGGAAACAGATAAGAAAAATGGGCACAACAGTTGCCATAAAAGCATGAAAACCTGAGTTTAAGTCCAGAGTTCTCACAGAGCCAGCAAGTAGCATGTGTCTGTAACCCAGTGCTCCAAGGTAGAATGGGAAACTGAGGCATGAATCTCAGACCAGCCAGCCAGGGTACACACTAGTGAACAACAAAAATCCCATCTCAAATAAGGACCAAGACCGGAGGTCATCTGCTGGCCTCCAAATATGTGTCATGCATGGCATGTGCACCTACACTCACACATTTTTCATTGATATTTAAAAGGGGGGAGATATGAGCCAGTGGGATCCATGCACAATGGAGACACTAGCTTCACAGGCAGAGAGGCGTCTAGACAGAGAAAAAAATGTATGTGATCTCTTCCCTGCCTGCCTCAGTGACTGAGGATTTGAACCAAGGGAAAGTCACAGCCTTCAATGTTTATCTCAGGCTACTGGATGAAACATTCTAGAAACAGTGAGAGGGAGAGGTGGGTGAGATCCTACAATGTGTGCATGATTTGAGATGGGTGAGATCTGGGCTTTTGGAAGTAAATGGAATCATTTAACTGTGCAAAACGTAAACCATGGTTTCTGTTGCTGTCCCTAAAAGAGGAGTGGAGCAAAGGACCATCCATGTTTTTGCATGGATGATCCGTCTTCCCAACTCCAGAAGAAAGTAGGCCAGGGTAGAAATCAAACATTTAATCAACTGTAGGTGTGAGTTGGGTGAATTTGCTAAAGCTAGGCCTATAGCAGGGACTAACCTTGCCACAGTTTGGTAGTTAGCACAAAAGTCTTTGGTGGCTTTTGTGTTGGGTTACAGAACTGTAAAACAAAACAAAACAAAAAACAAACCAATCTCAGCATGGCTCAGTGGACTCTGCCTTCTCTTGGTGACTGTCGTTAAGATGGGAGCTCCTTAGTAGCAGTCAGCATTCACCATCTTTGTAACTCTGTTCTTCTGAAGTAGGAACCTAGGGCAGCACAAGGCATGACTTTAAAGGTAAGTTACGAGCTGAAGATTCCACACCAATTCTAACATTCATCTCACACAGGTACACATGACATTCACGCTCTGATCCTTGGGAAAGCGATTACTGGGATTCAGGCATTCACAGTTGGCAAGTGAACCCACTTCAACAGCAGGCCCTTCAACAGAGAAATGTTTGGCTAGAACCTGGCAGCACCATGCATTGCTCTGAGTCTGCTCAGAAGTGATGGATGGATCCAGCTTTTATGGTGGAAACTGAGACACTGATTTGAGACTATGGAAATTTCTTTCTGGAAGATGTTCAGATATGCTCTATAGAAAGAAGATGCAATTCTCTGTATGGTCCTTAGCCGTTTTTAAATGAGATCAGACTCCATTTACTTTAAGAGGAGGAAAGAATGACAAAGGGAGTGATACAGAAACCAGTGAGTGAAATGGAGTAGACCCTGTGAGAAGGTGCTCTGGAGTTTATGGTGTGCCTTCCTTCCTGACGCCATCCCAGGGGCAGTGCCTTCTATGTTCAACATTGAGCACATAAAAGAGAAAAATAAAGCCTGTGCCTCACTCCTTGGGGTTGGTCTGGATTTACTGGTAAACACAGAGAGGTAGTTTGGGGAGTTTCTCATAGGAGGGATGAACATGCCTGGGGGCTGTGCCTTTCTGGAATAGACTTTGAGGTAGACAGTTTCTGACTGGCAAGGGAGCACTTTGTCCTTTCATGATACAGCTAACTACACAATGATAACATGGACAAGAGTTTGTTTTCTCAGTCCAGACCATGTGACTTTGGCCCCTAGCAAGGTGGCAGACACCAAGGGCTTTTGCAGGGACTGTGACACTGTGGGCTAGGACTGACTGATGGTATTGGGCTTAGTAACAATCCTGTTTCCTAGAATTAGGGTGCTTATCAGTGGCAGAGCACTTGCCTGGCATGCGCAAATCCATGTGCCCTGGATTTCATTCCCAGCAATGTAGGGAAAAAGAAAAGTTTGGTTCCTATCCATATTTACTCTCAGCTGAGTCGTTGCAGGTCTCCTTCCTCACAGGATACACCCCCAAACTCTTACCTCAGACTGGACACATAGGTCTTTGTATACAGTTTCCACAGTATGGCAAACTTGCTTGAGCTCCATTTCCAGAAGGCTGATCTTTGCCATCTTCTGAGTGAATTCTTGGAGTCTCTCCTGAATGATCTTGCTATGGTGGCTGTACACCTGGTACATCCTCTCTTCCAATTTCTCTGTCAGATCTGAGACCTTTCAGAGAATAACAAATAATTGTACTGATTGCAGGTAAAATTTTCTTTAGTGTTATTTATTTAGAGGTGTGGTCCTGCCATGTACCCAGGCTGACCTTGAACTCACCAATCTTCCGTACTGTTGGTATTCTATGCACATAGGTACACACCACTATCCTCAGTTCTTTTGTCTCAGATGGTTAGTCTCATGTAGTCAGGACTGACCTTAATTTGCTATGCAGTTGAGGTTGGTTTTGAACTCCTAACCCTAGTGTATCTACCTCCCAAGTGCTGGAATCATAAGGATGTGCCATAATGCCTAGCTTCTTTTATTAAAATGATACAAATGTTCAGTTGGCTTTTCATCTTAAATCTAGGAATGATTAAAAATCAACAGGAAAAGTAAAATCTGTAGGAAATCAGGTGTAATGGTACATTCCTGTTATTCCAGCCCTTGTAGAGACAGAATGGAGGGTCTCCTAGAGCTATACATTGAGTTCCTGGTCATTTAGAATTCCATAGCAAGATCCTGCCTCATAACCCCAAAATAGTTAAAATGTACAGAAAGACATGCACTGGTTCTAGGCAAACACTACCCCATTTGAATGAGAGACCTGAGCACTCCCTGTGAAGACTAGCATCCATGGGTTCTGGAACCAATCCTTATTTGATACTAAAAGATTCTCCGTAATTAGAAATAGAAGATGTCTGATTGAGGGTGAAGATCAATGCAGTTCTTGGCTCTGCTGGCTGTGCATTCTCAGGCAGCAACAGGCACAACCATGGATACTTGCATTCTAGCAAGCATACAGTGAGGCATGAGCACCACATTTGCTGTAGGATCATCTACCTCATCTTGACCACAGCTTTCTTCTAGGGACACATGGGTAGAAGAAGGCAAGCCATAACCAGGCCTGTTGGAGCAGGCTGTAATCTTAGCCACTTAGAAAGCTGAGGCAGGAGCACTACAAGTTCAAGGCCTGGACTACAGAGTAAGTTCAAGGCCAACACAACAGAGCAAGTGAGACCCTGCTTCAGAATAAAAAGTAAGGCTCAGTATTAGAATACTTACCTAGCATGCTTAAGACTCTTGAGGTGGATGAATCTGGGTTCCTGAGCCTGGCTCCCTTATATCACTTAGCACTTTATTATTTTTGAAGATATGGGTGTCTTGCCTGCTCCTCTGTTTGTGTAACATGTATGCCTAGTGACTGTGACAGAAGAGGGCATCTGATCTACTGAAGCTAGAGTTACAGACAGTTGTAAATTACCTGACATGGGTGCTCGGGATCAAACTCAGTCCTCTAGAAGAGCAGTTAGGGCTCTTAACTGCTGAGCCATACAGAGCCACACTTGTTTTTAAATTTTTTGAGACAGACTATCAATATGTAGCATGGCTGGCTTGAAACTCACTATGTATGCCAGATGGTGGTGGTGTATGCCTTTAATCCCAGCACCCAGGAGGCATAGGCAGGTGGAACTTTTGTGAGCTCAGGGCCAACCTGATTACAGAGTTACTTCTAGGACAGCCAGGGCTACACAGAAAAACCCTGTCTTGAAAAACTTAAAGAAATTAACTATGTGTACCAGGCTGGCTTTGAATGAACAGAGATTCACCTGCCTCTGTTTTCCAAGTACTGGGATTAAAGGTGGAACTACCATATATCTTGTTTACCACCTAAAAATTTTGTGTATGTATGTGTGTGTATAAATGGGCATCAAACTTTTCAGATTAGGCAAATGCTCTACCACTAAGCAACACACTCATCCCAAATCATTTCTGAGCCTTAGATTTCTCATTTATTTGTTTGTTTGTTTTAGTTTTCTGAGACAGGGTTTCACTGTAGCTTTGGGGGTTGTCCTGGAATTTGCTCAGTAGACCAAGCTGGCCTCAAACTCACAGAGATCTGTCTGTCTCTGCCTCGCGAGTACTGGGATTAAAGGTGTGCACCACCTGTGCCCAGCTTAGTTTTCTCATTTATGACATGAGCCCAATTTATTGACTGTTGTAAAGTAAAATGAGAACTATGTGCAAAGTGCCTCTCAGGGTCCCTAGAACCTAACAGATGTCAGACCATAGGTTCTTCCTTTCCTCTGTGGGATTGTCACCTTCATCTTGAGGCTGTCCCTGAAGTTGGTCATAAGTGCATGGTCCTTCTGTCTGCTCTCATTGATGTTTTCAATCAGCTCCTGAGCTTTCTTCTTCAGGATTTCAATGCTAGAGTCCAGAGAGGAGAAGGGTCCTGCCAGCTGGTAGTTGGCACTAAGATGGAGATATAAAGGTTAAACTCTGACTTCTGAAATTTGCATCATGTTCTCCAAAATGTGGTTGACCTGACCTGAAACTCAGTAATAGAATAGGTGCTTACTATAATCGAATAGCATATATACACACACACAGGGCCAGGGGGAATGTGACCTAATTGAGAGAGGAGGAAGGTGTGGACCATTGCCTTTGTGGGTGACACTCAATAGTTTTCCTAATTCATTCATACCAAGAAACATGGGGCAGCTTTCCCAACCCTTGTATAACACACATGAACTAGGGTGTAAGCCTACCTAACATGCCCGCAGCTCCAGAACATAATCTGTGCACCCCAAAGCCACTGTTCATATCTATGCATATATACACCACTGGCTTCTCTGAAGTGAGCACTATGGTAGTTTGAATAAGAACCAACATCCCCCCAGGGGGAGGGGGAAGAGGGCTTATATACTGATACTTGGTTCCCAGCTGGTGGAACTGTTTGGGAAGGATTAGGAGGTGTGGCCTTGAAGGAGGTATGCCATTGAGGTTTGAGGTTTCAAAAGACTGGCACTGTTCCCAGTATGCCCTTTCTGCTTCCTATTTATGGATCAAGATGTGAACTCACAGCAGCTGCTCCAGCAACATGCCTGCCTGCCTGCCACCATGTATAACCTACACTACTGTGTGTTTGTCATGTATGATCAGAAGCCCCCTCAGAGGACTGTGTTCTAGCTGCCTCTGTACTCAGGCATGCAGTCAGTTGTCCATTGCACCTCCCCACCCCACCTTTTTTTTTTTTTTTTTGGTTTTTCTAGATGGTTTCTCTGTGGGGCTTTGGAGCCTATCCTGGCACTGACACGGTAGACCAGGCTGGTCTCGAACTCAGAGATCTGCCTGCCTCTGCCCCCAAGTGCTGGGACTAAAGGCGTGTGCAGCCCATTTTGTTGTTGGGTTTGAAACAGTACCTCATTCTTTTTTTATTAATTTATTTTTTACATTCCAATCCCAGTTTCCTCTCCCTCCTCTCCTCCTGTTGTCCCCACCACTCCCCATATGCTGCTTGGAGAGGGTAAGGCCTCCCCTAGGAAATCTACTAAGTCTGTCCCATCATCTTGTTGAGGCAGGACCAAGTCACCTCTCCACTCCCCACACCCGTGTCTAGGCTGAGCAAGGTATCTCTCCGTATAGAATGGACTCCACTAAGTCAGTTTGTGCATTAGAGTTAGATCTTGGACCCACTGCCAGTGGCCTCATATATTGTCCCAGCCACTCCATTGTCACCTATATTAAGGTGGTTTTATGCAGGTTCCCCATTTGTCAGACCTCAGTCAGTGATCTCTCACTAGCTTGGGTCAGCTGTTTCTGTGGGTTTCCCCATCATGGTCTTGACTCCTTTGTTCATATTATCGCTCCTCCCTCACTTCAACTGTACTCCAGGAGCTTGGCCCAATGGTTAGTTGTAGATTTCTGCATCTGCTTCCATTTATTTCTGGAAGAGGGTTCTAGCTTCTCTGAGGTTGTGGATTGTAGGTTGGTTATCTTTTGCTTTATGTCTGCTATTCACTTATGAGTGAGTATATACTATATTTGTCTTTTGAAATAGTACCTAATTTTTTTTAGCCAAGGCTGGTTTCAAACTCAAGGCAACAAACATCAACTTTCCAGTGCTGGGATTACAGACATGAGCCACTACATGTAACTCCACTGTCTGTTGAATGAATAAATGACCTATTACCCGCCTCCAGGTGCATACAGAGACTCAAATTCATTGTCCTCCAATGTGTTTACCATAGGACTGGTCTAGAAAGGCAGAAACACTACTGTGAAGAAAGTATGGGAACTAGGAGGCCAATCCCTGAACATTTCTATAAAATGGTTTTGGGGTAGAACAGATTTATAAAAGAGTCTCTGACCTCTGAGGCTTCAATCAGTCATCTTTCCAAGTCTAAGTTGGATGGAGATTCACTTAGATCTCTTGTGTGGCTTGGATTTCCATTTTAGAAGGACAGCCATGCTCTCCTTGCATGGGCCTAGAGCTAGGGAACAGGCTCAAGTTGCCTGGTCTTGGCTCCCCTGAGCTGTTTCCCTCCTGCATAGCTTCACACTGGGACTGTGCCCTCAAAGCTTGCTGGTGGCCACAGTGCCTCTTTCCTGTAATACCCTCCCACAAAAACTACTCTGTTTCTCCACAACCAAATTCTTTCTCTTTTCCTCATATTCCAAGTACGAATTTTTGTTTTTGTTAACTTGACACAGGCTAGGGTCATCTAAGAAGAGGGAACCTCAATGAGAAAATGCCTCCATTAGATTGGCCTGTAAGCAAATCTGTGTGGGGATTTTCTTGATTAATGGTTGATGTGGGATGACCCAGCCCACTGTGGACAGTGACACCCATGATTTGGTCCTGGGTTATATAGGAAAGTAGGAGAGCAAGCCAGTAAGCAGTGTACCCCATGGCCTCTAGGTTTCTGTCCTGCTTGAATTCTTGGCTCTCCTCAGTGATGGGTTGTGACTGGGATATATACTTGAAATAAACCCTTTCCTCCCTATTTTGCTTTTGGTCATGGTGTTTTATCACAGTAAAACAAAGCAACCTAGAACAGGACTAACTCGAGAGGCAAGAATGGCCTTCACTGTAGCCCTCAGGGCCACTTGTCATGATCCTATGTTTAGCTCACTTTTTCATACTTCCCACCTAGAACACCAGAATTCTCCATATATGTGCATATATAAAACTCACTAAGTAGAGCCGGGCGTTGGTGGTTCACGCCTTTGATCCCAGCACTCCATTTTGTTGTGAGACATCTAGATTGTTTCCAATTTCTCGATATTGTGAATAGAGCAGCAATGAACATGGCTGAGCAAGTGTCCTTGTGGTAGGGTAAAGCATCCTTTGGTATGCCTAAGAGAAGTATAGCTGGATCTTGAGGCAGAAGCAGGTGGATCTCTGTGAGTTCGAGGCCAGCCTGGTCTACAGAGCAAATTCCAGGACAGGCTCCAACGCAATACAGAGAAAAATCCCTATTTCAAAAAACCAAAACCAACCAACCAACCAACAAACAAACAAAAAACTCAGTAAGTAGTGCAGATGACACGTCCTACCCGTTGACTTTTCAGTCTCCCCACCTCCATTCTCAGTATTAGAAACTGCTGGGCAGATGTTTTGAGTCAGGGACTCACCCAGGCAGACAGACCTTGGATGCTGGCTTTGAACTTTTGCTCTTTCCTGGCTCAGCCTCTGCAGTAACTTGGATTAAGGTCTGTGCCACCAGGCCTGGCTCCTTGCATGTATAACTTTTTAAAATTAATTATTTTCCCCTTTTATTGGAAATGGAGTCTTTTCTCATAGAGTATATCCTGGCACAGTTTCCCCTCCCTCTATTCCTCCCAGTTCCTCCCCAACCCTCCTACTATCCAGATCCGTTCCCTTTCTGTCGCTCATTAGAAGAGAACCAAACATGACAAAATAAAGTATATCAAGTTGAAGTAAAACCCATCACACTAAGTTGGATAAGGCAAACCAAAAGAAGGAAAGCGCCAAGAGAAAACACAAGGACCAGAGACCCACTCATTTGCATAGTCAGGAGTCCCATAAAAACATTAAACTGAAAGCCATAATATACATGCAGAGGACCTGGTGTAACAGCCAAATGGAAAAAGATATTCACCAATTCCACATCTGAGAGAGAATATCCAAAATACAAAAGGAACTCAAGAGACCATATATCAAAAAAAAAAAAAAATCCAATTTTAAAATGGGGTACAGATCTAAATAGAGAATTCTCAATGAGGAAACTCAAATGGCTGTCAAAGAAATATTTGACATCCTTAGCCATCAGGAAATGTAATCAAAACTACTTTGAGATTCCATCTTACACCTGTCAAAATGGCTAAGATCAATAAAACAAGAGACAGCTCATGCTAGTGAGGGTGCAGAACAAGGGAAACACTCATTCAGTATAGCTGGTGAGTGTTCAAACTTATACAGCCACTATGGATATCAGAGAGATGGAAATGGATCTACCTCAAGATCCAGCTATACTGCTCTTGGACATATACCCAAGGATGCTTTACCCCACCACAAGGACACTTGCTCAACCATGTACATTGCTGCTCTATTCACAATAGCTAGAAATTGGAAACAACCTAGATGTTTCACAACAAAATGGATAATTATTATTTTATACGCATAGGTATTTTGCCTGTGTGTGTGTGTATGTGCACCATATGTGTGCCTGGTGCCCACAGAGGACACAAGAGGGTATCAGATCCCTTGGAACTGGAATTACAGAGTTGTAAACAGCTATGTGGATCCTGGGAATCAAATTCAGATCCTTCTGAAGGACAACAGAGGCTCTCAACTGCTGAGGCAGCTCTCCAGCTTTTGCTTATCTCTTTAGACTGTTTTAGGTTGGCTTTTTTCTTTCTCCTTGGCATGTGCTACTTCAAGTCTCTTCCATCTTTAAACCATCTCTGTGTATCTCTTACTCCATCACAGGCTACTCTCATCTAGCTGGTTTGTAGAAAGCTATGAAACTACTAATATGTATTTTTTCAACCTCCCATTCACTGTTCAGCACACTGCAATGAGATTCCTGCCCCATTTCTTAAATAAAACAGCTCCTGGCAAGGTATCCAGTGAAGAGACTCTGCAGTTAGACCATAGCACATTCCACACTGTCATTCCCTTGGCAACTGCTGCCATGTGTCCCTGTGTAGGCCCACACGACCATACACATCTGAAGGCCAGAGAACGATTCCCAAGAGTCTGACCTCTAATTCCACCACATGGATCCCAGAGATCAAACTCAGAGCACCACGCTCAGAGGCAAGCACCTGCCCCCATGAGCCATATCACCCACTGACTCTTCTGTTTTCTAACTCCTGATGTCCCTATCTATACCTTCAGGCTTTTCCAGCTGTCTTCCACAGTTCAGCTACCTTTCTTTGAGGACATCCTTGTAATGTGGGGTGCCCAAGCAGTGCCTTTCTTACCTAAGTCTTGATCCTCTAGA